TATCTAAAAATCATGATAGAATATATTACAGTAGTTGTTTTGAGTTCCTCAAATTGTTGATCAGTCATCTCCTTCAATTCTCGTCCATAATTAATCAAGAATTCTTCTATATGTTAATTCACAACATAGGGAGGTTTTGCTGTTCCCTAAACTAAAATTTGAGCACTGTCCAAACAGCCAACTGGCTTGAATTTGACACTTACAACATAACCCAATTACAATTGTGTACGCAAATAGGCATATGCTGCATTGTGGAGAATCTTATATAATAAATTCATCATGGCTAATTACTTCTAATCTCTGTACCCAATTTAATAGTAATTCAGAGTAACTCCATTCGTGTCCAATTAATTAGTAGACTTGGAGACCAAAGAATATACTATGGACTTACGACTCAGATCTGAGACTTAAGAGACATGATTCTAAATTCTGATATGCGAAGTAGATTCGTCAAATATCTTAGGAATTTGATTTTGTAAGGATTGCACTTCATCTCTCAAGATATTTCCGGTGAAATATGTGGTGAATCTGAAATTCTCTAACATCTCTTTCTGAAATTCAGCCAATTCATCTTTAGTTACTGAATTGATTTCATCAATCATCTAAGAAGGAGTTGGTTAACCTTGAATAATGGTTGGTAGTATAACAGAAGTGGCCTAGATGAATAATTTTTATTCAAATGTATTGCTCAATTCAGTAATTTAACTTAGTTTAACTCTGTTCAAAAGGTCTTCATCACTGATTTCCTTCTTAATCTCTCTTAACACATTCTTGTAGAAGTACTCAAACTTATCACTCCATCCATACATCTCAAGCGATAACCCTTTCATGGAGGAATCAAATGACAATTCATAACCAGCCTCAAATGATTGTTAAAGTGATTTGTATAAATTATTAGATACGTAACTATTAAACACTTACAGCAATGCCACTTTCTTTAATGATTTCATATCAACAGCAGTTTCAAAGTTCATGCCTGCATAAACAGTTGGACTGTACGATCTATCCAATCTCCACCATGTTTTACCTTCAATGTCCTTCTTAATCAATTATGGAAAGTGATTGTATTGTTCATATTCAAATTCATGTTCCTTACACTCCTTCTTCGATGTGAAATAGAATGGCATTTTGTGAGTGCTCTCAATGAATATATTCTATCTATTTTTTCTATCATACAAGGTGTCAGAATCAACTGATTAAATATATGAAATGTGTTATTAATCACAAAGTGACTTAAAAGCTAAATTAACTGGGACATAGTGATTAATTGATGGCAAATTTAATGGAACATTTTCTATCATCATGAAATCCAAACTGTCCTTCTCCATTGGCTTAACATCATATTATATATGATAGAGATCATTAGAAAATTGTAGTTCGCTCTAAGTGATGAAATCAGCATCACTAACCTCTGCATTCTACTATAACAACAAGGTGGATGGCTATTAAAATGATAGGAACGAAGCCTTTAATTCCTCGTTTTCAATTTCCTCTTAAACTAATTTATATCCATCATCTCCAACCATGATCAACATGTTATTTGGATTCATTAGATCAGCTAAGTAATTGTATATGCATTAGGGGTCATATTTAAAATAACTGGTCTCTGCATTCAATACATATTTTGGAGGGAATGTATTCAGATTGTGTGATAACTTAAAAATGTCTATGTCCTTCTCCAAAAATTTAAATTGAACATCTGACATAGCCTTCTTTGTCTTGTAAGTTTCCTCCAAAAAATCTGTAGGATTCTATTCTTCATCATAGAATTTGTGAATCTATTCTTCAAAATAGGATATTATAGCTTGTCCAATTTATAAGGCATAGTCCTTTTATTGACCAATCAATGTTTCACTTAATTCAACTTCAATCAAGTAGAATTAGAAACAACCATTATTACCCAAAAATGGCTGAGCATCCATATCAACTATAAGGTTCTTACTAACTAAGTAGTTATACAACCCTCCATCATGTCTAGATCTCACTATTGAATTGATAAATTGAAGAGGCTTAGTTTCAAAATATTTAGTACTATCTTCTAATTGATAAAAGTAAATTACTGTTGTTGCTCTTGTGTTGATGTGATATTTCACTAATTTTGCAACATCCTTTATTGGTAGTCCGAAATGAGCCAAAGAGGGTTTTTCTATTCCCAAATTCGGAATTTTTAAGAACTCACTTGATTCAATGAACTCTTTCATCATTTCAATTGGTTATGAACTCTTGATCACCAACGCCATCTGATTGGATGAATAATATTATTGATGAAACTTTTTTAAGGCTTCAACAACATGTGGCTTAAGCAATGATTATAAATTTCCAATAGTGAATCTACTCATTGGATGTTTAGGATCTGACATTAAACTCATTAGATGCAATATCTTCCATCCATCTCCTGCCACATTTATCTCGTACTCAGAATTCACCGCATTGGCCTCCTTTTAGACCATCTCTTATGATAAGAGAGGGTCTATAAAAAAGTGAGCGAATACATTCAGAGCCTCACTTGTTCTACTGGTATCTATTGTGAAGTAGTAATTGGTTCTAGTTCCTTCAGTATATGCATTAGTGTAACCTCCTCCTTTGGCCACCAATTATTCAAAATAACTTGTTTCAGGATAGGTATGCGAGCCTTAAAATAACATATGCTCGAGGAAATGAGCTAAACCAGGAAACTCATCGGGTTCGTGCCATGATCCTGCATTAACATTCAATGCTGCTTATGTTAGTTTAGTTTCTGGATCTCTTATCAACAGGACTTTCAATTTATTAGGCAATTCCAAGTATTCATATTCCTTTTTGTCGACTGTTGGCTTCTGTATTTCAACATGTTTGTGTTCAGCTGAATGTATTTTTTATTTATGTTGTTTTTTATTCACACTCATTCTCACTTCCAAGAAGCTAGGTTGAGTTAATGAATTTTGCAATGCCTTAATTTATTACTCTAGGTATGTTTATTCTTAAATTAATGAGGCCTATTCAAAAGATAAATCATTCTAAGTTTCTTGTAAACCCACAATTTTGAATATAACTATACCAATAGTGAAGCAAGCACCAAACAACACTAACAATTGTATTAGCGTCGTGTCTCTCTTTTATTGATGTTTTTCTTCTTTCATTTAATATAAAATATAACATTTATAATTTAAAAACGGTATACATATTCTAAAGAAATAAACTGCATCCTAATATTATTTTCCTTAATCTAAAGAGACTTCCAAATAAATCAGACTTATGGGTCTCATTTATATAATATCAAATTAATTCCATAAATTGTACAATTAATAAATAAGTAACACACTGTTTTAAGTAGAATTTAAAATATATTCTAAGTTTTGGTTCTTAAAGCTTTACATCATTGCTAATTGTGGAAAGAGTTTTAAGTATATTCTTTAAGACAAGGTTATTTAAATGTAATTTAAGACTCTAAGTTTGTATTATAAATGAAAAAACTAGAAAATGTTATATTGAATTTTATGAATAGATCAATGATTTGATTATTATGGATGACTACGCAATTGTCTAGATTTGACTGGATGTTTTGAGTGATAATCTTCGATTCTTTCTTCAATTTCTTCTCTGTATGATCTAATCAACCCTTAAACTGGCCAAGCAGCAGCATCTCCAAGTGCACATATAGTGTGACCTTCAATTTAATAAGTTAATTCCTTAAGAATAATAGTAAGATTACAATACTTCTAATTAGTCAATTTCAGCAAAATCAGCATTTCCCACTTTCATTCTTTCCAATAAATCAACCAACCATGAAGTACCTTCCCTGCAAGGAGTACATTGTCCACATGATTCATGTTTATAGAATTTACTCAATCTCAAGATTGCATCAATAATATCAGTGGATTTGTCAATAACAATCACAGCAGCAGTTCCCAATCCTGATCTGACATCTCTCAAAGCATCAAAGTCCATAAGCACAGTCTCACATACTTCCTTAGGCAACATAGGCACAGATGACCCTCCTGGAATGATGCATTTGAGATTATCCCATCCTCCTCTAACACCTCCACAATGTCTTTCAATCAACTCCTTAAGTGGAATAGACATTTCCTCTTCAACTGTGCATGGATTGTTGACGTGACCAGAAATGCAAAATAATTTTGTGCCTCTATTATTGGGTCTGCCAAAGGAAGCAAACCAATTGGCTCCTCTTCTGAGAATAGTTGGACAAACAGAAACAGTTTCAACATTAGTAACAGTAGTGGGACAACCCCATAGACCTGCATTTGCTGGGAAGGGTGGCTTAAGTCTGGGCTTACCTGGTTTTCCTTCCAAGGATTCAATTAAACCCTTTAGCTTACTTGATATAATACCGTTTCTTCACCGCAAATATATGCACCTGCTCCACTATGAACATAAACATCAAAATCATATCCACTACCACATGCATTCTTTCCTAAGAATCCCTTTTTGTATGCTTCATCAACTGCCTATTACAAGGCATTAGCTTCAACCCAAAATTCTCCTCTGCAATATATATATGCAGCTCTAGCTCTCATTGCAAATCCCACACATAATGCACCCTCAACTAATTTATGAGGATCATGCCTTAAAATTTCTCTATCTTTGCATGTTCCTGGTTCAGATTCATCAGCATTAATTACCAAATAAGATGGTCTTTAATAGATGAATTATATTTACCTTCCATCTGGATTTACTTTGGGCATGAAGGAATATTTCAAACCACTTGGAAATCCTGCACCTCCTCTGCCTCTTAGACCACTCTTCTTAATTTCATCTATAATCCAATCTTAACCCATAGTCAGTATGTCTTTTGTTCTATGCCAATCACCCTAAGAATGTATATATTATTATACTCTTTTCAAAGCGCCTTGAATATAAGGATCTCCATCCCGATAGACATTTGTGAATATTCGATCCTAATCTTTCAAACCACCGTGATAGAACTTAGGAGAAGAAGTTAATCTTAGAAATAGATGAGATTATCTATTTATCATAATCTTTATTTATTAAAAATAAATACAATGGGAATATATTGCTTTAGATAAAAATAGCCTCCTAAATAAATGCAATTTGAAAGCAAGCTTGATGATATAGAGATCAAAAATATTAGAGATCAAGTTCTTTCAGATTGCTAATAAATCAATTTAACCTACAACGATAATTTGTCCTCAGCCTCTTCAATCCTAATGGTTGATAGTATATATACAGGAAAAGTGAGGGACAATTAAAAAGAAGGATTTGGAGAGTGCATATCCTATTATGATATTAAAAATTCAGAGCAGCAAAATAAAAAAATTAAAGAATATTATTTGGGAGAATGGAAAAATGGCATGAAGGATGGCTTAGGGATGATGGTGTATTCTAATGGAAATTAGTTTGACTACTATGTTGGCTAATTTCAGCAGAATTAAAAGCATGGTTTCGGAGAAATTAAATATTCTACTGGGTAATCTTATAAAGGAGATTTTCAAAATAACCAATTTCATGGAAAAGGGACATTGATTTTACAGGATTAAATTACAAAATATTTTGGTGATTGGGCCTTCAATTAGCGAGATGGATTTGGAATTGAACATGGAATTGATGACAATAAAATATGGGATTACGAGGGATCATTTTCTAAAGGTAAAAGGTAGGGGTAGGGAAAACTTACAATTGATAGAGATTATGTCATCGAAGGGGAATTTGAAAATGATTTCCCCAAAAACGCCCTTATTACATACAAATAGCAAGAGTCTTAGGCTGATGTATAATCAATGGCTAATTAGGAATTAATGATAAATAAGAATCAATATTTCATGGTAATGGAACTCTAAAAATGAAAAATAATTAAACTATACAAGGTATATAATTTAAATTATTTTTAAGGAATATTTTCAAAACACGAATTTATAGGAAATTGAATTAAAGGAAATTGAATATCTTAATATAAAACAACCAATTCGTTTTCATTATATTGATGCATAATGATCCTAAATCCATTTACGAAATTGTTAAATGATTTCCTATCTTACTTGTTTCAATTGATCACAATCCTCATCCTTTGGTGTATACAATTCCACGCAATGACCGCTATTATCGCAATTAATCTCATAAGTCTATATTGATCCTTAATTAATCAAAACACTTGACCACTTCCAAGGATCTTCATTTCCATTGGTCATTATCAAGTTATCTATATTCAATTCGTTTCCACCAAATCTTGCATTGGCTAATTAGTCATCTGGGAATATGTTCTCCCTTATTCCGCCAAAAATACTATTGCAAAAATCCTTATAGAATTGTATATCTATCAAGGTAGATCTTACACTGTTGTTTAGTGGACTTGTTTACCACCAACCCAATTCACTACAACACTAATACATCCATTGTCTGGAAGGACTCAGATTATTTTCGTCATATTTATCATTCTTCAAATAATATGATCCATATTCCATATAGCTACCTTCTTCGATAACTGATCTAAAATAGTCAATCTATTCGGTTATGCTTTTGTCTTTCAATTATTAGCATAACTCTGATCTCCCTCCATATTAAATTATCAATAACTAAGCATCAGCAAAAAAGAACAAAAATTCTAAGTCAGTCAATTTCTCTGCACCAAATGAACGCTTGAATTCTTCCTTTGTCTACTAGTTTAGTATTTATTATTCTGCATATTTGTTCATATCCTAAACATCCTTGGCACATTATGGTCCTGACTTATATGCAGAAAGAAAGATCTAAGTATCAAACATCTTAAAATCAGTGATCGATTCCACTACAGCAGATGAAGCCAACGCTCCAATAACCAGGTGAGGATACTAATATCTATACCAAGCTGCAAGTGCTCCTGGGTAAGATCCTCCTATTGCAATCCAAGGATTCTAAGACTTTATTCCGTGTTTCTTATTTAAAACCATGAACCTTTAGAAGTAGGCTAAATCATCTAAAGCCTATCTTGTGCTTAAATATCGGAGATTCTCATCTTTTAAAGACTCACTACCTAATGGCATTGACTTTCCATAATATCTATGTTCCAATATTATTATCAATGCATTAAACTCTTTAGCCAATTATATGATAAACAATCTCTCCTACATTATTCCAGGACCTAAGATTAATTTCATATTTACATGTGTATTCTCCACAAATTTGAAATAATACTACTCCTGTTTCTGGGACAAAATTTTCTTCCACAACCCAATATCTTTAATGGAATACATTTTTATTCAATTTATCATAATGATCAACCAATTAGTGTTCAAACCAATACATTTTTTGATCAAAGCTGAAATCATCTGCGATTACAAGCAATAAGGATATAGAAATCAGAAAAACTTTATTCATTATTAAAAATATATAAAACTTTCTATAATGAAATAAACCAAAGCAATTTCATTTGTTTTCTAATTAAAAGCAGTTGATATAACTTATTATCATAATATGCTCTAAGTGTATCTAAGTACATTGTAATTTAGCCTCTATATTTAAATTATTGAATACATATATACATTAAATTAATTACTAATTTAAAATTATCATTAAATATTTCATTTTCAAATTGTTATTTTAGAGCCAACCTCATATTAACAGAAAAAAAAAAAGATTGTTAATTTGCAAAAGTCACAAGAAAACAAATATTAACAATATAAGTTTTTGATTTTATTTGAAAGTTAAGCTATATTCAGGCCAAATGATATCTCTTTCAATAATTTTAATTTTACTCTTAATTAAGATTTAAACTAAATCAACGAGTATGTTATTTTTTCTCATTTAACTTAAAAAAGTGATGGAATATATCTTTTAGAGCTTTTCATTAATTTTAATGTATTAAAATACTATGTATTCAAAATTATTTAATATAATTTATCTTTATGTCTGGTTTATCAATTAAAGTACTTAGAAAGCTAATTATTGATTTCATGCTTGTTCTATTAAATAAAGTGATATTATCTGAGTAAACAATTTGATTAGAATAAGCTCAAGTTAAAATGAAAATGATGAAAATTTATTCTGCATTTTTTAAACAATGATCTTAAAATCTTTATTTTATGATGTAATTATTATTCAGTGTTTAGGTTTTTCTATGGCTTCTAGAGTATTATTGATATATCATATATACCATATGTTTAATTATAAGGCCATTGAAGATCAATTAATTCATTATTGAAAAGATGCGAAATTATAAAACAAATAACAGATTTTATAAGTAATGATTAATTTTTTAATATGATCATTCCAATTAGTAAGAGACAATAATTTGCACTTAAAAATTGCAGCCTATAATTACAATTTATTGATTCAATTATTGCAACTTTTGTTACTAATCGAAATGTTATTTAAGAAATAAAACTTTTCTTCCCTTCCTATAGATTTTTCTAAAAATAATTTGATTTATTATTTTTATATATTTTATCACCAGTCTATTTTCTGTTTTTTTAATTGAGATTTTAAATCATTTCCTATTTCTTAAAAAATACTAATTCTGGATTCTAAAAACAATTATTATTAAAATATACTTTCATTCAGGACTAATATTTAAGAATTTTAAATATATTTTATTTAAGTAATTTTTTAATATATATCTACTCTTATTTTAGCTAATAATATTAAAAATATTGCAGTTCCTACTATTTTGAAGTAAAAATAATAGAGGAATATCAATGAGATCTACCAAAATTTCTGTTTAATAAAACTAAACAATTAAAATATTAAATTAATGATTAGTTAACAAAAGTTATAAAGAGTTTATTCGAACCAGTTCATGATATTAAATTCTAAAACTCAACTGACTTTAAACATAGAAATCACTTCTACATTTTCATAAAAGTGATAACATTTAATAATTAAAATACCCCAATTTTCATTACCTAAATGAATCACGCAGAATAAAATTTAGATTATTTTAATTTCATTTCCAATATTCTTAATGATTAAAATTTTGCAGTATAATTTGAAAAAATAATTTAGTTGAAAATTACAACTGTTATCCATCATCATCATCATTAAATAATAAAATATCCTTCAGGTAATAAATACTAAACAAGTTTGAGAGATAATACTTTTGCGTTTTATCAAGCTGAGATGGTAGATGACTATTTAATTAATATATTCAATATAAATTTAAATTCACAGTATTCTTTGTAGTTTATAGTAAGCTTCAACTTTTATAACATGAAGCCCAACATTATTAGTATTTCCGTTGACATTATATATTTAAATTTATTAAACCTATTAGTCAGGGAATGTAATTGTGATGATTTATTAAGCAAAATTACTTTCGTAGATTTAGGTTTTTACACCTTTGGATATTAAATAAACTTTTATTCTATATTATCTATTGTCTTAATCCCACAACCATATTTTTAGAGTGTTTAATTAATATTATTACACTAAATCAAAGATAATTGATAATCCTATCCCACATGCTGTATATCCAAAACTTCCATTAATATAGTTAGTATTATCACGTATACAACTGCCTTAAATACCCCCTGCAAAGCTATTTGATAATTTAGATGAGATTATGCCTCCTCTATTCTAATTTAGTACATTATAATATTTTCCCCTAAGGATTGAGTATAATCTTGCCTATCTTTGCTTACACACTTAATTAGCAGCTAATTAAAAATTCAATATAAACAAAGTGACTAAAATAATATAATTTTTCCGCATCATTAATTTAGTAAGAATTAATTTATTTTAATAAATTTATTCATCTTATTGAAGAGAATATTAAGGCTAATGAATTATTTTTTATCATTTTCTATTTCAGTAATGCTTGCAACATGCTTTTTTAATAGAAAAAAGAGTTGTAGTTTACAGAAATTCAATGCAATTTTTCTATTAGAAACCAAATAAATTATTATTACTATGCTTTTTTTTATTAGATTGATTAAATTTTCAGTTTAAATTAATTAAAAATTTGTGTGCAAACTTGTAAATTTTGAATTTGAACAAACATTTATCAGATTTATCGCAAAATTAATGCCAATTATTAATATTATCAAATGGATGATTAAACTATAACTAATTGTGCAATAAAAGAAAAAAATATAGAAAAATTGTGTAGGTTAATACCAGACTCATTAACTGAAGAACTCAAATATGCCCTTAAACATTCTGTAGAAAATTTATTCAATGAAGAAGCAGATTTAGATAAGCTTTAAGAATATATCACTTAAGTTCATTCTGATGACCTAAATATCTAATATTAAGGGTTAAATAGAAATCGAAAACTATTGAATAATTCTCAATTAGCATTACCAAAAGAATAACTAATTGAAATTTTACTTCAAAATAATTTTTCAATAAAAATTTTTCAAATAGCCATAAACAGCAAGATTCAATTGTTGTAATATGAAGCGCTTTGGATTATTTATAATATTGTGTGTGTAACATAATAAGAAATGTAAAATATTATTGTTAATAATGGAAATAATATCCTTCTCTTAGTTGATGAATCTTAACTTGATGAAATCATTGAATTAGTAATTTGCATTTTAGCTAAGATTTCTGGCGAAAGTGTTTAATTTAGAAATATGCTTATAGAGAAAGGAATTGTTGAACAATTACTCAAATTAGCCCCATGCTATCAATGGAATAATCCAGATATTTTTACAGCAATAGTATGGACTATGGCTAACTTAGCGAAATAAAAACCTATTTTTATTAAGGTATATTATTTACTTGAGAAAATAGCCTAGTAAGTTATTAACATAAATTCTTTCAGAACTATTATCTTCAATTGAAGATGAAACCCAGATAATGTATGCTTGTTGGGGATTGAATTATTTAAGCGATAATGATGATGGCCAATAATATTTTTCAATAAAACCACCAGTTATTCAAAAATTAACTTTATTACTAAATTCCAAAAATGAATCTCTTATAATTCCAGCTTTAAAGACTATAGGAAACATTTTGACAGGAAATGAAGTGTAAACAGCTAAGGTTTTGAACACTGGAGTCTTAAAACCGTTTGAAATGTTACTATCATAAAATTACAGTGAAGTAATTTAAAGAGAAGTAAAATCAAGTTTATATTTAAGGTTTGTTGGTCTTTGTCTAATATTGTTGCTGGTACTTCAGATTAAGTGAACTAAATTCTCAAAAATGATTCACTCTTAAAAGCCCTATTTAGATAATTTTAATAGGGGGACTCTAAAATCTTCAAAGAAATGTCATATTTTCTATCTAATTTAATAAATTATACAGATTTAAAAAGTATAGACCAATTTTTAACATAATATGATTGCTTTTAAAAAATATCAATCATGCTAGACATGGAAGATGAAACAATAAGAAGAATAATTCTAGAAGGAATTTTGGAATTTTCAAAAAAAAGTAAAAATTCAATCATATTAAGTCTAAATAAATGCAAAATTATAGGTATATAGGTAATTGATGCATGATTCAAAAATTATTGACAAAGTTAAAATAATGTAAAATTATGTTACAGATGAAATTTCTGATTAGGCTAACCAAATTTTGAAGACTTTAGATTTGGAAGAAATTGTTTGAAATGAATTTTATTTTATCAATTTAAAAAATATGATTATCATACAAAAATTTCATTTATTTTAAGCATGAAAACCTAATATCTGGCTTACAAAGTATTTAATCTAAAGAGTTAATAGTTACCAGAAAAATAATATTACTATATTTTTTTTAGGAATCATTAAGTTGAGTAAAGTTAATCAATTGAAATATAAAAAAAATTGAATCTCATCTATAAATTGATATCCTATACTTTAAGAAATTTCTAAAATTACAATCATTATTCAAATGTTCTCCTTTGTGTATATAATAAATTACAACATAAAATTCGTTTTAACTTCTATTTTCTTTTCATAATTACTTTTTGAATGATTTATAAATCTGGATTATTAAAAGAAAGCAGAGTTTCTTTGCGAAAACTGTTAAATTATGTATTCTTAATCTCTAAAGAATAATGAATATATTTGTTTTTAATTTAATTTTCTGTTTAGAGTGCTTCAAAATATTTAATTTGATATAATTACTTTTTTCTCATTTTTATTAAAAAATATTTTTAATAATTTTGAATACTTCTGTCTAATATTTAAGGTACTCAAAACTCTGAAACTCTTATTATTAATTTTACCATAAATCAGTGGCATAATATTTGATCAAGGGTTATGTTAAGAAACATGTTAGACCAATTTTGTTTGCAAGAACCAAATTCAATATACATTTACTATAGCGTTTAATTCTCCTTTTGATAATGTTCCTTAAGTTTTTCTTGTCTTAGATCATATTGGTGTTTATGTGAAAACTGATTTTAGAATGTGGATCGATAATGTCACTAAATAAAGTGAAATATACATATATTCATTAAGATTTCAACTTATTTGTAGTTTGCTTAACTGGTCACGCACATTGTGTTAGAATTAAGTGGTATGCTATCGATGATTAGAGGTTTTAAATAGTCAATGCTTTTAATACTATAAATCTTACTTAAAAGAAATTTTAACACAAAAATAAAAATGTGAATACAGAAATTGCTCTGATTTCCTTGATAAGTCATAATTTTGATGAAATCAACTTTAAACTTTAAGTACTTTTTTATCTAAAATTGAGTTTGATGAAATTACAAGTGATGATGTAACAGTCTCTTTGATAAAGGTGCCTGCAGATTTTTCAAAACAGGTTTAAGTGGGATTTCAAATTATTTTAGGACCAAAAGAAGCATTCTAAAAATTCAGTTCTATTATTGATTCTACAGAAGATTACTTAAAACATATTGAAGAGGTATAAAATGCATGGTTTTTATCCCTATTTACTGGAATGGGATATCCTTATACTGATGCTGTGAGATTAGATTAATAATGTTCGTGACAAGAAAATTCCACATTTTAGTATACTTTAAAAACTTGTAAATATTTTTCCTAATGTTAGGGTAAACTGCTTTTACTCCTTGCTCTCACTCTCATGGATATCTTTCTCATAACATAAGCACAATGTTTTATTCTTTAAATTTGATATATTTCTAAGTCATTCAAAAATCATAACTTTCTTCTGCTACTTAAATATCAATTTATTTCTTAGACAATAATTAAGTATTAAATATAGTTGGGGAATACAATGTTACCTTAGCTCAGGGTCTCGAAAAGGTAACAATCGATATTACAGTTGTTTGCCCTTAAGGAAAGATAATTGAAAGTAATTTCAAGAAATGCTATGACTGTTCTCTTTAATAGCTTTACAAATCAAACTATCAATGCAGTAACACACTCAAAGAATTAGTTTTCAAAACTTATTATGTAAAATAAACTCCAGCATATTCTGAACTTTTAATCAAGATACAAGAAAATTTTTATGAGATGAAATAGATACTTTACAATTAAAAAATTGAAGAAGCTCTAATTTTTTCAATAAATTTATAAGCTATCTGACATTATAGATATAAAATAACATCTAATAATAATATATCTAATTATTCGGGCTTTATAGATTAAAATTAATAAATTATAGTACTTGCGACATATGGATATTTAACAATTAATATTTTATGATCTGTTATATAATTTCTTTAGTTTAGATGCACATCATGTTAGATCTTCTTTAATAGAATTAAATATTTATAAAAAAATTAAATTCTCTTATGTAATTTTCATTTTTTGAAGAATCATTTTTACAATACCATTTAATTTATTGTATAATGTAGCAAAATGAAAATCAAAGCCTCTCTATCCAAATCTTAAAAAGGAGTTATTAATAAGCATTTTTTATATTTTCTAAGGTTTTACTTGTGCAAATAGAAAACTATATAAATAATCTATAAGTTTTCATTATTTGCATAAATTAATTGTCTTCTTATTGAAAATATAATGAAATGTATGAATGATGGCATTTGTAAATTAGCATTCATTCTATGTGATTTAAATTCCTTTTGCTATCTAGTGCATTTGCATTAGATATTGAGGTGATTAGATAGGAAACTGTAGTAGAATCATTGACAATAAAAAATGAAATCATAAAAAATTCAAACTATAGATTTTTACCAAACTTTAAGTAAAGTTATGTAGAGGTAGAGTATTCTCCTCAATCCTAATTATGTTAATATCTGTTTCACTAATGCTTTAATTTCAAGTTTAGAGTTAAATTGATATTGATAAAGTTTATAATAATATTCAATAATATGTATTTAATTTAGAATTTTTTGACAAATNGATTGTGTTAGAATTAAGTGGTATGCTATCGAGGATTAGAGGTTTTAAATAGTCAATGCTTTTAATACTATAAATCTTACTTAAAAGAAATTTTAACACAAAAATAAAAATGTGAATACAGAAATTGCTCGCATTTCCTTGATAAGTCATAATTTTGATGAAATCAACTTTAAACTTTCGGTACTTTTTTATCTAAAATTAAGATTGATGAAATTACAAGCGATGATGTAACAGTCTCTTTGATAAAGGTGCCTGCAGATTTTTCAAAACAGGTTTAAGTGGGATTTCAAATTATTTTAGGACCAAAAGAAGCATTCTAAAAATTCAGTCCTATTATTGATTCTACAGAAGATTACTTAAAATATATTGAAGAGGTATAAAATGCATGGTTTTTATCCCTATTTACTGGAATGGGATATCCTTATACTGATGCTGTGAGATTAGATTAATAATGTTCGTAACAAGAAAATTCCACATTTTAGTATACTTTAAAAACTTGTAAATATTTTTCCTAATGTTAGGGTAAACTGCTTTTACTCCTTGCTCTCACTCTCATGGATATCTTTCTCATAACATAAGCACAAA